AGTCAAGTCCTTTACCCGTTTTTAAAAGTATGTTGTTAGTTTTTTTGTTATTGACTTTTGGGAGTTACGTGTATGTACTGGATAGTAATCATTTATCAGATATAGGATTTGCAAATATTTTCTCCCATTTTGTGGGTTGCCTTTTATAAATTTGCTACAATTTTTAATCTTTCATAAAGTCCAATTTGTTTATTTTTTTTCTTTTGTTACCTAGGTCTTTGGTATTATTTCAGACCAGTTAACTCATGATATGCTCAGTAGTGTTGTAGATTTTCTGTTTTCAAAAATAGGCAAACCAAGATTTGTTTTTCATGTGAAAATACAATGGGATAAAAAGCTCAACACTATCATCTTGCCTAAAGAAACACTACCAGGTTGTAATAGTGAGAATGTATTTCCCTTTTTCCCCCCAATACAGTCACTACAAGTCTCTTACTATAATAAATGTTATACATTTAATTGAAAAATATAAAAATATAATTTACTAGTGATGGCATCTTTTATATCACAAGCACTTCTATTTTTTAATATAAACATATAAAAAGAAGTTATATGAAAAAGGAGACCTTAAATGGGACAATTCACTCAGAATTTATTTTAAACCACACATTCTCAAGTTTTCCCAAAACAAATTCATATAGATGCTAATATACAGCCCTTCTGCCCAAAATTTGTTCCACTCCATGCCTGTGACATCATTTTAGGAATTAGATAAAATGGAAATGAGATGAGCTGGACCAATGCAGAAAAGACAGAATTCACTAGTGCTTTTGGATATGCAGCATGGCAACATGCCTTTTGCAGGATGAAAATATTAATTACACATTTTTAAAAATCACAAATGTTATGCATCTCCCTGGAGTGTAGAAAGTCTTTGGTATTTCTTAATTACCAAATCTCGGTTCTGCCACGCAGCTTTCTTTCTCATTGCTCCTGTTGCATCCAGGGTCATCTTTGCGATTTCCTCCGAAAACGGACTATATATTAACACACAGGATTTCACTGTATGTTGGGGTGGGGGGAAGGGAAAGGTGTTAATTCAGATGTTATGAAACTGTGATAATGCTATTATTTAAGGCACTTATTTGGGTCTGTTTATACTTCGTAGTTTTATAAATAAGCCCAAGGGGCTCCTCCTGGTTGTCACGATCCTCCTTGAATCTCGTATCCTGTCTGTCTCTTCCTATCCGACAGTAGAATTGATGCGGCTCTAATCCCTGGAAGTTTGGAACTAATGAACTGACTGCTGAGCTGCCGCCACGGAGCTTGGTCCCAAACTATACTGTACTTCACACTCGATTTATTCTCCAGATGGCGAGACTGTGCCGCCCTGCCGCGAGGGACCACCTCTTCCACTGGAGTGTAAAAGTGGACGGATGTTGTTTTCTTTGCAGATTTGATCATTCTGCGCTAGAAACTTGCGAGGATGATTAGTTATTAGCTTTAATGGGTGCCAATTGAACCAACTGCACGCATATTTTCTCCTTTAATTTCGGAGTCTGCAGGTCTCGGTGATGGTTGATTTATCCGCTTTCTTACGTCACTGGAGCATGTCTCTTCTCCAGGTGACAGGGACCCGGTCTCTGAATTCATTGCACGCCTTGGTTCCTGGCCCAGACGCAGGCACATAATATGGTGGCTTATGTATAAGGACAAGTTTATTAGCCACCGGTCCACTGCACTGAGCAGCCCATGGCACGAAATATCGATTGAATGCGGGGACTTTGGTAACACCTCTTTTAGAACAGGGGCCTGTGAAGATTCTGCTCGGTGCCAGCTTTCTCCTGACCTCTGCAGAGCCCACCTCTGGAATCAGGCCTGCTATGGCGCACACTGTGGTGATTAGTCTCTGTGAAGATCCAGTGTAACTTGCTAAAGGCCTTCACTCCATTATTCTGACTTTGCCAGGTTGTCAGCTCTTAGGGGGACAAGTTCATCCTACATGAGAAATGCTCACCAAAGCCGTCCTGTCATGTTAGCATATTCAGAATACGGTTTCAGATTCTAAACCCCATTTTGAACAACCTGTTTTGCTCTCAGAATATGACTCCCCCCCACCAAAAAAAAGGTCTTTTTTAGTGTGGCCTCTTTTTGCTTTTGTTTTTGTTTTGTTTTCTCCAGGGAGCACTCAGCTCCCAATAATATCAGCAGATCACCCAGCCAGCCCTTCTGAGAAGATGGTGTCTGCTGGGCTGTGTCTTACTAATCCCCTAACAAGATGGAAATTACAGGATGGTCGGGGCCAAACAGGAGCCAGAGAAAAAGAGAGAAATGTGAAAGGGAGTGAGGTGATGGGGATGAGAAGGAGATGGTAGCAAGAAGTAAGGTACGTGTTAGAGAGAGGGGAGGAGGAGAGAGAGGGGCAGAGATCAGAATGAACACAATTTCTTTTTTTCACAACTGGGTGGACTGTGGTTCTTTCTAGCTGAACACCCAGAACCAAACTTAATTGTTCTTAGACACTGCCTTCCTCTCACCCAACAGATGGCATGGGTGTGTTTGCTAGCACTGTAACATATTTCACCATTAAAATACCAAAAAAGGAAAAAAAAAATCAACATGCTTGTTGGTTGGTATAAATTCAGTGAAGTTGGATATTTTGGGATACATGGCAGAGGGATGCACACTTAGTTTATGTAAATTGCAATAAGCAACAGCCTGTTATTAAGGGTGTTGTATGGCAATATACCTCCAAAGCCATCTCTTTTTTTTTGAAAGGTACAGAATGATGAAGTAGAGCTTGGTTATAATTCTGAGCCAGAAAGAGAAAAAAAGTCATAAAATGCTGATTATTTGCTGTTCATTATTATAACAGGAAAAGTACTAATCAGATTATGCCTAGCGTTGGAATTAGGTACTTCGTTTGCAGCCAATTTCACAAGGACTGAATTTTACTAAGTAAACTGGAATGTGCTGAAACCATGGCAATCTGACTTTAGATAAAAATCACAAACAGGTTTAGAACATGAGCTTTGAACAAACAGTCCCCTTCAAATCCAAGTGAAACAACAAAACAGTTTAGAGGTCACATTTTGTTTGACATCAGCATCGACAATGTAGGAAGCTGATATCGCCAGCAATCCTGTGTCCTTGAGCACGCAGATGAAAGTAGAGAATGGAGAGGAAGATTCAAATAGCTCTAGTTCAAAATGTGTTTCAGCCTAAACGATTGAGGTAGTTCCCTTCCATTTTCCATCCACTCTGTCCCAACAGACCCTTCACCAGCCCGATCTGCTATTGAAAGAAACCCTGCAAGTTGAAATGTTTACGAGCTGCAGCCATCCCGTTTGTAGTTGTGCAGGCTACACGGAGCACAACACATTTTAGGTTCTCTGGGGCCATGGATCTAAATACACGCACTGTCCAAGAACTGGAAGCATATCTCTTGCCCGCTCTAGATGGCCTTGGAACTGTGATATTGAGCTAACTTCTGCTTGTCCCCTTCAGGGTTTTCATATTTAGTGAATGTAACAAGAGGGCACGGGAGAGCAGTGGAAGAGTTTTATAGCTGTGGAATGGCCAGCGGCATGGTGTGGAACCAGGCCACTGTTGGCTGCGTTTCCCTCACTCCAGCTAGTGTGAGCTCCCGCTTGCTTTCGTCTAAGCTTGCTCTGATTATTGGTAGTCGGAGCTCTGTAAATCAGGACTCCACAGAGCTGTCTTAAACTGGTCCTACGTACTGTTTCCATCTGACCTGACAACTCTAAGCTACTGTTTCCTCACACTGTTTAACTCAGACCACATTTGGAAGCCTTCCCTGCTTCCACGGGGTCGTAGACCTACATCCGTCTGGTTTAAATCTACTGTCCTGGCTTGTCTTGTTGATTAGACTTAGACTCAATATCAGCTCAAATAATTCTTTTTTGTCTCCGTTTCGGTTTGCTCTTTTCCTAGATAAGTATTGCTGTTCAAATGGCTGCATATTGTTAAGACTTTTTTTTAAACCACATTGATCAGCAGTGAGAAGCTTTAAAGTTTTATTAGTATCATAAAAACCCTTCCCAAATGAAACTACTTTTGATACGTGTTCATTCTGACAATGAGAATTTGTTGAGGGCTGTTGGCAAGTTGGAGGAATTTGTTTTTGAAACTGAAATTGGCAGGAAGTAATGACCCCAAAGTGCTTTTTTTCCCTCAACTCCAACCCCCACCCCTTCAATGCACTCCTTTCCCTGCCCCCCTCACCTTCATCACCCCCAACTCAAAGCCAATAAATAGCATGTTTGGTTTCATACAGTTTTTCCGAGGACAATTCAAATACTGAAGTAGACTTTCAACCTTTCAGCTTTTCTTAACTGGAGCAAAGACTGTCAAATCAAAGGGGAAAAATGTATTTTGTCTACTACTTCATGAGGGGGTTTCTTGGTGATATTATTGCCTTCCTTCTGAGTGAGTTGGAGCTTTTTTGTTGTGTGGAGTGTCATTTTCCTGTGAGTGCCTTCCTAATTAAATGTCAAGATTCAACTCAATTGCAAAAAATAATTTATTTTTTAAAAGTGAGTAAAAAAAGCATGAAGCATGTGGAAAAAGAAAAACAAATTCTTATTTTTTCCCTAGTGTGAATATGTTGACAGACGAGATTGTCATTATCCATATTCTAGATTCTCATATTTATTAAATGACAAATAACAGGTAGAAGACTTAGAACCTTTCCTAGTGTGTAGTAAATGCTTAATAAATGTTACCTATCAATTAATCTACCTTTGCAATTGAAAAGTAATGCTAATGAGCAATATGACACTACTATTTAGAAGTATGCCAGTATGCATTATAGTGGGCATCATCTATGTTAGTCACCTTGAATGAAGTCTGGAAATCAGTTGCTTACCTATGAGATTGGACAACTGACTTCAAATACCATTCATTTGGTAGACAGGAAATTTGTAGATATAGTAATGGTGCTCAGACTCTGAATCCACAGGACAGTTTTCACAGTCAGTTCGATTGTTTTCTCTCAGTGATAAATATACTCAGGATACACATTTTATCAATACTTACAGAATGAAGCTCGATTAAGAATAGTAAAAACTCTCGAAGACTTTGATCTGGGCCCAACTGAAAAGTGTGTGAGAATCAACTCAGTGTCCAGTGGTCTGGCTGAAGAAGACCTGGAGACCCTCCTGCAATCCCAGGTCCTTCCTTCCAGCCTAATGCTACCGAAGGTGGAAGGTCCTGAGGAAATCCAGTGGGTGAGTTTAAGCTAATGCTTTGCTTTAATTAAAGACTCAGGACTGGTTGAGAAGGAGTAGCAGAAAGGAAGCATTTGGGTGCTGCTGATTTTGAAGATACAGACACAGAGCAAAAAGGGAATTCAGAAAAAGGAGTGAGCCCACGAGACCATATTCTTCACACAAAAGAACCTGGCTTTGCCCAGACTGTTCTGATGGGACAGCTCTACTCCTGAAATCATGCGTCTGCTCCCTGATCAGATTTGTGGTCTGGACAGCACAGGGTCCGCAGTAGCCCTTACAGAGCAGTCCTTGAAAACGAGCTTGCCTGAGAATTGGATCGCTTCTTATACCCTGCCAGGCCCTAACCCTCCACCTGGGAGAGCAGTGATGTAAATGGGCCTTACCCAGCCAGATTCATTGGAAGACATCATAGACAGAAAGCATATTAGCTGCAAATGAAAAAATGAACCTAGAGGAGAGGTAAAGGTCACTCCTTAGGGCAAACAGAGGAATAAACAGGAAGCTTTTAACCAGTGGTTTTAATTAGCACAGATATTATTTCCTGAACAGTCCTCTAGTTCCTCCTTTTTAAATTGCTGACAGGTGTGTTTGTGTTTCATGACAGACTTTTCAGCCAATAAAAACCTGGCATGTCAAATTACTTAAGAAAACTTTGAAATGGGCCTAATTATACTATGATTGTTTTCATTGTTAAAGTGGGGGGAGGCGAGATTTTATTTAGGGGGTGCTATGATTCTGCAGATCTCTGCTAAATAAAATAACATCCCGTTGTGCCACTCCAGGGCAGAGAGCCTGGGACACGTAAGTGCTGGAAGTGTGGTAAGGGCGTGTGGACACTGGTGATCTTAAGGCCACATCTGGGATTACTCTAAGGCTGTAGCTGCAACTGGAGCAGTCCGCTGAGTAGCTGTAACACCTGAGGAAACTGCTCACCTTTCTAATGCACGTAGATAAGGTGGACCTGTGCTTTTCCAATGCCGTGGCTGCCTGCCACATGTGGCTACGCAGCACTTGAAATGTGGCAAGTCCAAATTGAGATGTCCCGGATGTCTAAAATACACACTGGATTTTGAAGATATCATAGTCCTCTCACCCCCAAAAGAATGTAAATTATCTCAGTAATTTTTATATTGATTACATGTTGAAATGATATTATTTAGGATATATTGGGTTTTAATGTTAACTTTAACATTATTAAAATTAAATCACCTGTTTCATCTTACTCTTTTAATGCAGCTACTGGAAAATTTAGAATTGCACATACAGCTGCCATTATTTTTCAGTTGGGCAGCTACTACGTTGGTGCCTTCTTGAGCCCCATGGTGAAGGGCCCATATTTACTTTCTACCCTGGAGTTCTCTTCTCCAAGGTCACCCCTCAGAGGCTGAGAGATACTGGTTGTACTAGGTTAATATCTTCAAGGGCTCCTACCCCATTCGAATGTGTCCTAAGTTGATTGAAATGGAATCCGAAGTCACGTTCTCTTTTGGTTTCATAGTTAATGCCTATTTATCACCATTATTACCCTCATTTGAGAGGGGAGGACCCACCCCAGCCTTCAGCTCCGGCTTCTGTTCAATGTTTTAAATCCCTGGATGTGAGGAACATACCGAAATCTAAATAGGATTTCTAGTTAACAGAAGTCTTTTGGGCTGTTTATTTTTTCCTCTCCGTTTGTATTTATGTGAAGCATAAAACCCAGAGCCTGATGCACAACTGAAAGATGGGCTTCCTTGTTTTCTTTTGTGTGAGAATCTCTTGCTGGCCTTTTGTCGCTAGTGTGGGTTCTTGTTTGACTGGCACGGCTTATTGGACTATAACAAGCGTGACTCTGCCTCCTTTGTCGTGGGACAATTCTCCCACAAATCCCGAACAGTGTGCATTCTTCCAACACACTATTGGGTGTGCACTGGAATTGAAAGAATTGCTGAGCCCTGCTACTTCATCTCCTCCCCAATCTCTTTGTGATTTTCCCCCCTTCTTTTCCTCCCCACCCCCCAGTCCCCTCCACCTCGCTGAAATGAACACTTTACCAGGCCGGAAACATTTAATCGTCTCCTTTTGAAAAAATTAATTGAAACTTCTCCACTAGTTAGCTTTTGTGTGTGTACTTAATGCAATTTTTTAAGAAAGAAGAGGAGGAGGGGAAGAAGGATGGGCTAGAATATTTAATTTTTAAATGGCCCTATTGGCTTAAAAACAAATGCGTTTGAAATTTTTCTCACTGAGAACAGGGAATATGTTGTAAAGTGTTTACCTAGTTTTAAACTCGATGATTTTTGTAATTATAACTAGTATCACAAAGCATGGAACAGGTAACATTGCACAATTTTTTTTTTACTGAGAAAAAAATTTCCTCCACTGCATATGTAACACCAAAACCACCAATATGTCAGTCACTACCTACTTTCTAGTGTAAATGTGGCATAAATTATGTTTTATTTTCATTTCCATGGAATACTGTGCATTTTGTACCCTTAAATTGTAGCCCTCTCTTCTTTCTTGCTGTTTTGGTTCAGTTCTTCCTTTCCTTGCAAAGTTACTAAGGAGGTGATGATGATGGTGACAGAGGAAGGGGGGCAGTGGGAGCAACTGGGAATAATTCTTCATTACTGAAAGCTGTGATTTATTTTAGCCTAATTGTAAAGTTACTGCAAATTGCTCAAAAGCTTTTTAAAGATCCCAGTGATTAGATTTTTTAGGGGGGGTGCTGCACAGGCAAGGAGGGGGCAGCTAAAAGGGGAAATAACACCTCTAATCCTGCTTCTGGTAAATAGGCTGCCAGCTTTTAAAATGAGTTTCCTTTCTATTAGTCAGAATATTATGCTAAGCCTTAAGCATTAGTTTTTTTATGTTGCCATAGCAGCCCTATTCCTGCAGGGTGGTGACCTGCGATGATTACAGTACAAAGCTTATAGGGTCTTGAAACCCCCTTTGAAGATGAAAAGTCTTTGATGGTTTATATTTATGCAAATCTCTTAGATATGATTTACCCAACTGAGACTGAATGGAGAGATGATTAAAATTCCCTTTTCCTTTGATATCCATTAATGGCTGAATATTCCTTAAATTTAAAATGGATATATGTGTTTTCATCCTTATTTACAAAAATATCTTTGTCATACCTGGTTTTTTTTTCTTGTCGGGGTTTTTTTTTTTTTTTTATCTCCCCACATCTTATTAGATCTAGATAGACATAATAGATTTACAATTTAGAGTGTGGTAGGGTTTTTTTCCTTTTGAAAGGAGGGGGGGGTCTGTGCAAGAGCTTTTGTATGTTTCCAGATGATAGATTTTGGAATTTGGGCTACCCCACTGGCAGCACAGAGCTAGCTGTGAACTGGTCTCATGGAAAAAATTGGCGAGCTTTGGTCTTCAAAGAATTAAACTTCCTTTTTAAGGTCTTCCTAGGTAAGCTAAAAAATTATGAAGAAACCCCTTCTGAACAAAGGGTAATGGTGCTATAATGAATAATATGGATTCCACGCAGAAGGCTGTGAACAGTTACACTGATGTCAGTGCTGGGTGTGAAACAAAAACAGAGCGGCAGGTAGGGCAAGGCGGCATTGTTTCAGGGGCCTGCCACTCGCATTTAAGACAGGAGGGCGAGAGGTCTTAAGTAAATATGTTTTTAAGGGATGCATTTAAACTCAAGAATCTTTCCTTCCAGTTCTAACTCCTAGGCCTCAAATTGCTCCTTTAGAAAGAAAAAAAAGTATAATGCTTGGGGTTTTACTATTTAGTTTGGTGGGAACTTTGTTACTTTTTTTTCCTTTGGTCTTTCCTCTTTTTTCTTTTCTTTTTTTAAAATTCTTTTGTGTGGACGAAAGAGGCTGGGATATTACTTCCTCAGGTCAAAGACTTAAATACTACTTCTATGTCTACATTTCAGTGGTTGTACATTTCCCCCCCACTAATCACCTATGACACTTTTGATTTTAGTTTTCAGACAAATTTTCATTCTACTTAAAAGGCCGAAAACTTGAACAACCTATGAATTTAATCCCTTTTGTGGAAACTGCAATGGGTTTGCTCAATTTTAAGGTAAGAAAACCCCAATGTGGCTTAGAAGTTACTATTTTACTACCTAAAGAGAACTCTTCTATTTTAACATCTACTTAAAATATTTTTCTGAAAAGATTTATAAGCAAAGTAAACCTTGAGCACAATTTGTTATTTGTAATTATCCAAAACCAGGTTGTGAACATCTTAGAGAAGAAAGAAATTGGCTAAATAACAAGGAAAAACTTCCCAGTCCTAAATATTTAAATTGTAGATTCCTAGCAGTAATTTTAATTAAATAATCACTATGTAAATATGTGCTTTGAATTATTACATTTATAGATTAAATGTGCATGAAAATTTATTTTGTCACCCTTATGAATTAACTTTCAATTATTTTTTTGTAACAATTGTCTTTTATTGGGAAACTTTCTGGTCTCTTTGTAGCAACATTATCCACAATGTCTAGTTGATAATATTACTATTTGTTAGTATAGACCAATAATTTGTGGTATATTATTTCAGGTTACCACAGTAGAACATAAACTGTTTCCTAATATACTTCAGGAAGATTACCTGAGCCAAGTGTTTTCCAGCATTGTGTGGTTGCATTGAACTGTTTGCCTTAACAAATTTATAGCTAGCTTGTAAAAAACCCCTTTATCAGTTGTCATTTAAATTGTTTTCCAAAATATGCCTCACGTTCCACCTGACTTGTGAATATCAATGTAGCACCCTATCTCAGAGGGCAGGAGAGAAGAAACCTCTAAAAACAAAACAAAACAAAAATAGTTGAACTTTACTGGAGAGGTAATATGTGAGCAAACGCTCCGAGAGGAAACTTTGAGACCTATTGGACCATGCAGGAGGGAGAGAGTGCAAATGTTTGGGGAGCTGCTTCAAGCCTCGTGATCAAGCGTGTTTATACCACTAACCACAAATTCTTCCAGCCCACCCTAGAATTCTGGGAATATAATCAAAGCACGTCCCTTAGATGCAGCTAGATACATATAATGATTTAATTTTTAGCGCTGTTTTGCCATTTTATTCCATAATGTACTTAGAAGCACTTACAACCCCTGAAATTAATCAGCAGTGTCCTCCCGGGTTACTCATGTCCTCCCCACCCGCATATATTAGCATGCTGCATCTCCACCTTTGTAGGCTCACAGTTATGTCTACAACCAATGTCATTTATCTTTATTTCACACGGAAATGTCAGAGTTGCTTATTAATACATCTTGGATGACTTGTTGCATTTTTATTTTCCCCTCTGGCATTGTAGATTTTTGTATTGTGTGTCATTAATCCTAAAACCATTTACTAAAAAATCTTGATCCTAATGCAAATAATCCAATTTGTTTGATTTAAAAATTCTTTCCTTCTCTCCTGTGGCTTTATGTTTATGGTTTGAGTCTCTTAAAGCAAAAACAAATTTTGGAAAACTACAAATAACTTATAGTACGATCAAATTGAGTTAACTCAAAGTTTTTCTAGCAGTTGGATGAACTACAATTTGAACAGTATAACTGTATTAATATATGTTAATAACTATATTAATAGAGTCCATTAAGCAAAGCCAGTGTATACAACATACTTATCTTGGACGATATTAAATACCATTCGAAAGGGGTAAATTTGGGCTGCATTTTCAGGACTGCTTTCCGACAATCTGTGTTGTATTAGGGGCTGGATCTTTCTGTCACTGAAATCTGTGCCGTGTGGCTTCTCTCTCATGCGTTTCTGTGAGACGTGGTTCTGTCTGCTCTCTTACAGGCAGTGTGCGAGGAAGCAGCCAAGACCGGGCCTAGAGTGGGCCTCTCTCTAGATGCTGTTGTTTTTGGAGGAGAAGACTTTCGAGCCAGCATAGGTGTCAGAGACTCATTTCTCCCCCCGCCCCCCGTGCCCCCCTCTCTCTCTCTCCCTCTTTTTGTGTGTATGTGTATATATTTTTTCTCTGCCCCTTCACCAGTGGACGTTTACATGACAATGTATTTGCCAACCATCACAATGGTTTTTCAGCTGAATGGACAACACTTCCTGATAATTTAGGACACCTGGTCGTTGCCCTGCTTTCAGAACACATTACTACTTCTGTTCATTTATAAAGTGACTAATAAGAAGCCTGTTACAGCCTCAAACGTGTTCAGGAATATATGGCATCTACTTGGTTCATAATAAGTATTACATGAACAGCCTCTCTACTGCTTAAATATTTTGTTTTCACATCAGTTGAAAGGCTATCGAGGCTCCTGACACAAATTTAAAGCGATCTCACATTTGCTTTAGTGAATGATTTTCTATATTAAGTGTAGTATGTAAATATTATTTAAAATAGATTTTAAATTCCTCCTAAAATATATTTCGGATCTCGTATTATGAAATATTTGTTGAGACGGTACGCTTGTTTCCACCGATCTGCCCCGTCCCTTGGGCACGATGCCTCTGGTCTGAGTGCATGTGTGGCAGGGACTGCGGTGCACCTGGAAAAGAGGCCCAGGCCACAGTGTTTCAGAGCCCAGTCCCAGTGACCTGAGGACAGGAGCTTCCCCTGAGCGAATATAAGCAGACACTCCCTCCCACCCCCAGGCTGAAAAAAAAGCAACTTATTTAATACCAGTCTTTCCAGGAGACTGTGTCGCTAATAGTTTAGAGGACACTTTCTGCCCCTCTCGGAACGAGTGCCCTTCTGTTTCCCCAAGCTCTCATCCAAACCCCGAAGCTGCAGCGTTTGGCTCGGAACCTGTGACAACAATGCATGGCAACCGCAGCTCGTGAAGTTCTGGGCTCAGTGAGAGAGCTTAACCATTGCCTTGTACAGCTGGTTGGCCACCTTCTGCGGTGCTACCTCTGGACCGACACTTTCCAAGTGATGGCAAGAAGGGAAAAAACATATCAGGAGTCATTGTGACCTATTGGGTCATTCGTGATTCTAGCTCCTGAGATGGGGAGGGGCCTTTTCTTAGTGCACACTAGTAATTATACCGAAAGGTGCCTTGCAAGTGTGACACGTGAGATTTAGCTCTGCCTCCATGTATCCCTCCCTTCGTTCATATTTGAATCATCCCTTCGCTGGGGAGCAATTCCCAGGAGGACGCAGACGTCCTTACAAACCGAGTTCTTATGAGAGGTGTATGGGCTCAGTTTCCAAAGTTAACGTCTCTTTCTTCTGTCAACATTCCATTTGCAGGTGCAACAAGTAGTAAAGACACCCAAGATATCCTCTACGCCCGACAAAAGATTATTGTCGTAGCGAAGGCCTTTGGTATCCAGGCCATAGACCTGGTGTACATCGATTTTCAAGACAAAGAGGGGCTTCTCAGGCAGGCGAGAGAAGGCGCTACGATGGGATTTACTGGTATGATTCTCCATGATATCTCAGAAAGCAGCGGCTAGATTTGCAAACATTCCAGAAAAATAGAAATTCAACCAGAAGTTAGTGTTCTTAAGGTAGCCAGATATTTCACACACCTAGTCCACTATTTGAAACATGAAAAAGCCACCCTGGGCAAGAACCTGCCCAACGAATTGTCAGGTTTTTCTTTGGCTCTGCCAATCAACAAACATATCACTCATTTTATTATTTTCTCTTCATATTAGCGACTCTTTTTTTCTGTCCTCTTAAGTATCTTGTTGCAGTTTTTGATGACACAAGGGATGAGACTGTTATAAAAATGTTTTGGGGTGATCTGCCTTAAGAGTTTGGGTTGATAGGTCGAAGAAAAATTTCCTCCAGGAGTCAAAATATTAATTCATTTCTGAAAAAAATTTTGGTGATATCTTTTTAATTTTTTCCCACTCAGAGCTAGGTTTTTATTCATCTGCCACTCCAAGCCCCTTCTTTCTCTCCGCCTCCCAGTAAGTGTCTATGCACCTGGCAACACCTACGGGTACTGGCTGGCACTGAGACAGCGGGCCCCTCGCAATCCAGTCCTGGAGCACAGGCGGATATTTGTTGATTGGTGTGCCCGATCACTCAGTCCCCAGGAGCCCAGGGAGCAACCGAAAATTGTGTTTTTGCAACAGAAATGTATTTTTTGAGAAACCACAATAGGCTTCTACACCCAAATACATGTCTACAATAGCATACACACACACACAGGTGCAACCATGGACAAAAAAAACTATAAAATCTTTTATTCTTATTTGCTCTGCTGCTGCAAGTTCTCAGACTATCATGCTCAGAAATGTACCCAGATAATAAGGTCAAGAGACAAGCATCCATGCTGTCGCTTTGGTAAGCATTTTTGAAATGTGTCCAGGTAGGGGTTACTAAAGAAACATTTCATAAGGTAACTTTAAATATAAAAGGTATCTAAGTGGATGATGATTTAGCCCAAAATAAAACTGAAAGGCTTAAGAACCCATTTTAAGTGTTTTATTAGATTTAAATAAAGCTTTGACATTTGATTCTGTGTTTTTAACATAGAGTTCAAATGTGACCCCTACAAATTTGTTTGATAAATAAATAAATGTAGTCTCTTATAGGGAAATATTTTTCAATCCCAGGGGCCGTTACTGAACCCTCCCTACGGGTAACAGTGACTGAGAGAGAGGCCCTCTGCCCAGGCCCTGGGGTTGTCCTTGTCCCTGCCGCCTGTTACACCAGCCTTTTCCTAATGACTGGTTAGGACGTCGCCCAAATGGAAAAGTTGGAGAAAAACTCCATGAAATCTATCTAATAGACCCCAATGTTGTTGGTCTAAAATGTGTGGCATTGGCTGCCAAGCAGCCAGATGTTGCTCTGAAATGGGCACTAATGTAATAAAAAATAGAAAACACAGAATTGATGTGGGCCTCTGTCACCATTGCTCAGTATAACCTGGGTGTCCTCGGTCTCCTCTGGGGTAAATGTTTGCTCCAGAACTCATAAAGGAGTTTGAGGGTTTCTCCAAGATACAGGACTGCATTAAATTGGTCCTAATTCAATCGCAGAAGACAAGTTATTTCAAATCAGATTTAAATTTCTAGACTGTGCCCAACTCAGCATGAGGAGCTTATGGGCTTGGCACTATTGTTTCTCAACAACAGGGAGTATTAAATCACAAAAAAATGGAAGGGGGGTTGGGGAAGCACAGAGGATACAGTGCCCATTATATATTCAAGTGAACAAGTCAGTAAAGTAGGGAGCTACACTTTATAGCCACTTTGCAATTTTTAGAAAGAAGGTCTTTGTTGTCCCAATTATATTTCTACATGCCAATAAAAGTTAATTAGTGTGATAACATATGAGATTATTTGTAGTATTTTTAAACAATAAATGATTTAATGAGTATTTTAGGCCACTCGTGATCTGTTTGTCCTAATTATTTGTCATTTAATTTCATACCCTGGACTTTGCACAAGAAGGGAGGAGAGGAAGGACAGAAGGGAGGAAGGAAAGAAGGAAGGAAGGAAGGACATCCCATCTGAAGCAGGTGGTTGAAAGTTTAAAATCTAATGAAAGTATTGTGTTATCCATAACACTGATAAGAAATACTCAGTCTATGTTATAAGGATTTTCTGTACTTTTAAAAGTTACATATATTTTTAATGAGTTGTAGTTTTTTAAAAGTTAACCATACATGGAACAGTGAGTTATAGTTTCTTTCCTGCAGTCATTGTTTCACAGAGCCACAACCCATTTATATAGATTTTAAATCAATGCATTGGCTGTACAAATAGCTGTTAACTTTAGGGATTATTTTTATAAAAATAAACCAAAAATAAATCTTAGAATAAAGCTTTAACAACTGACTTGGTCATCACAGCTACTCCAGTACAACATGCTGAGAAGAAAGATTATAAATATGAAACTCTATAGGTTTTCTGCTTTTTTGCAGTCTTTTGTAGAAGACAAAAATGACACCATCATACAGTTACCTAAAAGACTTGACAGGTATTGATTTAAAGCACGATATATATCAAGTGGTACTGTAAAAAGGATTTCATGGTCATAAATTTTAATGTCTTCCAATTTTGCACCCTCTCAGTAACTTGTCAATAACAACTCTTCTATATAAAATATTTGCTTTGCTCCCACATGGCATTAAAGTCTGATGTTCAGTTGTTGGGGTATATAAGATTCAACAAAAGATAACTTCACGCATGGCTGTTCATGAATTTCTAAAACCTAACACATATCTTAAAATTAGCCTCATTACCAAAATATGGGCACTTGCAAGCTATCAGTAGTTTTACTGTATTTTAAATAGTTTGTGTTTTGCTTTTCAAATTATAGTGTCTGTACCAAGAAGTTCCCGTGAAATCTGGCTTTTTACACATCAGTGTAAATTATGTACATAAATTATAAAATTCAGGACTAACAATTAGTACAAAATGACTACCAGAACTGACATCCTTTATTAATAATATTGTAACAACTATTAGATTACTTAAATATAATTTCAGTACCTACTATTGAAAAAAGCTCTCATTTGTCATCACTGGTGTTATTTGTTCCCAGAAATTATTCCTCAAATAATTTAAAGCATCTTTATTTACATAGCATTTTAATGTTTTATTAGTATGCTGACAGATTAAAAATGAAATAGCAACCTGAGGATGTTTTAATTATGCCACCATAAGAAAAGATATTACTGTATTCACTTAAACTCTTTTTCGTAAATACTAAAAAAAAATTTTTTACAAACGTTCTTTTTTCTATTCGATAGAATAGTGGTGTTAATAGGAAATGACCTTTTTAAAACATCAAGGATATAATTTCTACTGACTAAATGTTAAAACAAATATTTCAAAGGCAAAACAAATTGATATACCAACAAATATATTTAGCAGAGTAAATTATCATTAAGTGTACATTCATTTTTAAAGAGCCAAGTATGTCCATAATTTTATTATATAATAAAATATAATTTCAACGTTATTATAACATTAAATTATGTTTCATTTTTATTAATGACCTGATTAGGTTCTATTCTATTCTTCCCTGGTTGTTTAACTGTGTTATTTTTTTTTAATGACTGCATGATTTCCTAGAACCCTGTGACTCTTATCTTTGTATGTTTTTATTTAAGATCCTCAAACTTCAGAAAGAAGCATAAAGCTTTTTTAGAGCAACTAGTACAGAGATAAGATTTCATCTGGGGTGTCTAAGTATCTATATAAGAGGGAAATATAAAATCTTCATTCTACAAGGAAAAAGGGAAAATCTGGTTATGCTTTTAGATAGAGAAACTTTCTGTAATTTTTACTTCAACATTTGTAAATGGAATAATTTAGAGACCACACTGTTCAAATCCGCCTTCCATTTTACTATACTGAATAAAACTTTTTCATTGAAATCTAAATTTCTATTAGTGGTTAGAAATGGCATACTCCATCTAAAAGAAAGAAAATTAAATTATTGTGAGACACTATTTGATATTAATATAGTTGTAGTACCTGCTTCTGTAAGCTTTATGAAAACCAACAGACTACTTCTAAAAGAAACCATGGAAGGCAGGATAATAGCACAAAATAAGCCAAAGACAACTTATAAAATTTGAAAGAATTAACATATAATTTTTCTCTACTTTAACTCAAAATAATCACTCTAATTTGCAGACATTACCCTTTACAGTTCCAGCCAAAGCAACATTATTCAACGAGCTGCCTAGTCAGTCCACCTGTAACTAAAAATGAGAGATTATCTGCACCAAGGTGGCATTTCTATAGGATAGAAATACAATCACTCCCATTGTTGTGTTTGTTCTTGCGTGTATTCTGGAAAAGCCTGCCCAATTGCCGTTATTTTCTTTTTAAAATGTCGTAAAATAATGAGTTATTTTACATACAGTCTGTGAGGCATTCAGGAGCCTCGCGTGGCCGAGCCGTTTTGTTTGAACATCTATTTGTTTTGTGTTTCCTGTGTTATTAATCTCCTCGTAGGTAAGCAGGTGATCCACCCTAACCAAATTGCAATCGTCCAGGAGCAGTTTTCTCCTTCCCTTGAAAAAATTAAGTGGGCTGAAGAACTGATCGCCGCCTTTAAAGAACATCAACAATTAGGAAAGGTAAATGTTTTATTAATGCCCTGGATGAAACCGGTGTTTAAAATACTCTGGGAAGAACGGGGGGAAAAACATTGAATGATTTTTTTAAAAACTTGGATTTTGGTGGGGAGGGTTTGTGTTGTGGGGTGGACAATATTCATCTGTGAGAAAATCGCTTAAGGTAAATTTGTCCTTCCATGTTTCCTAAATATTTCACCAACTAGCTCTCAAGTCTCTCATTTTATTCTTTTCATAAACTATATTGGCAGCCTTTGAGAAAAGAGAAGTCTGTTTAGTGTTTCTCTATAGACTCTGATGCAGCTTTCATATGAAAATAATTTTTGATCAAAGTGAGAGCAAGTTGTAATGAAATAAACACAGTTTGATCAAATGGTTCTTGAGGAGAGAAGAAATAAATTTCAAGTTACTTTAATATTGGGGGGGAGTACAAAAGTCTCCTCCGGTTTACTCATTTAAGAGTGGGAGGTTGTATATGTGCTTGTACCAATTTCTGGACCTGAGATTTGGATAGAATGGAAAGCAAATTAACACTGGAGTATGGTTGTTCCTAATTTAGTGCATCATTGAGCCTCGCGTTTCCTGCTCTGTGGGTTTCTGCTATGTAAATATTGCAGTGGTGATGCGCAATCTGTCTCCACTTTGTGCCAGTAACACTTAAATTAGGTGTCGCCTGAAGGAAGATTTTATGCTAGTTGCAGCATTGTCAGTTAATTATCTTAAAGGTTATTTGCAATAATACCGTGTGCCTCTTTTTAAGAGGATGGGGGGAAGTTGCATTTATAAATCTGTCCTCGAGTTAATATCTAAATTCACCCTTGTTACTTACATAAGGAGTGAGGTTTCATACCTACAAGGCAGAAGCACTTAGGGGAGAATGTCGAAACATTATTAAGGTCCTAAAGGTTAAACAATCCTCCTTACAAAAAAAAAAAAAAAGACAAAAG